GGATTAAACATGACAATAGGTCTGCTCTGATTTCATCATCATTTAAAAAAATCATCTATTATTTTTCACTTTATGTTTCTGTGTGGGAGCAAACTGTTGAAATCTTTACTTAATGTATACTAAGCTGATCTTCTGTATATTAAGATAATCGAAAATGAATCTTGATGTGAATGGAAGGGGAGAGGGAGTGGGAAAGGGGAGGGTTGTGGGTGGGAGGGACGGTATGGGGGGAAAGCCATTGTAATCCATAAGTCGTACTTTGGAAATTTATATGCATTAAATAAAAGTTAAAAAAAAAAAAAAAAGAAAAAAAAAAAAAAAGATTTGTAGTATCAGTCTGCTTTTACTAAAGTTTCAAATTTTGCTTTTGTTTGGCTACAACTTTTCTTTGCATGTATGTTTGGGAGGAGTGATGCTGAAATAGAGGTTAGAATTCATTGTTTTACTTATATTTTTTATTCATGATTAATTCCTTAAGTTCTTATTGTTTTATTTTAAAACAGTCCTGTTGTTGATATAAAGCAATTTACAAATATCAGAAGGATATTTTTACTTTATTTTTTAAAAAGATGGGCAATGGTTGGAGCTGCACCAATCTGAAGCCAGGAACCAGGAGTTTCATCCAGGTCTCCCATGCAGGTGCAGGGGCCCAAGGAGTTGGGCCATCTTCTACTGCTTTCTCAGGCCATAGCAGAGGGCTGGACTGGAAGAGGAGCAGCTGGGTCTCAAATTGGTGCCCATGTGGGATGCCGGCGCTTCAGGCCAGGGCATTAACCCACTGGGCCACAGCGCTGGCCCCAGATATTTTTACTTTAGAAACACATGGGTTAAACGTGGGTGGGTGACTTTGAGACTAGAGGATTTCGTGACTTTTCTAGATATAATGTCATCAGAAATAATTCCACAATCAGATGATCTATGTCAATTACTTACATATTTAGAGTTATACTGCTGGTTTTCTATTCTATAATTTACTTTTATTTACTTTAAAGCACAAATACATACTATTTAATTACATCACTTGATAGGAATTTGTTTTGTGATCTAGATAAATCTCTGTTTTATTCTCATTCTTGGTAATATTGTCATTGCTGTTGGTTCAACATAGTGCTCACAACTGATTCTAACTGGCTTTCATATATAAGAGCATTTCAAAATGTTCATGGAAAAATGCAATTAAAATAAATTTATCTTGGTGCAATTTTTTTGAAATCCATGTGTAGATTTAAAACTATGCATTTTTCATGAAATTTTTCAAGATCCCTCATATGCCTGGGTTTCAATTTTTTGCACCAAAGCAAACTTATCTTTTAATGCAATTTTCCATTGACTTTTAGAAATGTTCTCATATGATTTCATTTTGTTAATCTCTGAGGAGATTGGAGATAGTTACATGCAGAGTGTATCAGGTTAACAAAATAGCCTTCTTCTTCCCCCATACCATCTTAAATACGTTTGAATTCTTCTACATAAAATACAAATCTGGTCATGCTCTCACTCCTTATTACACTCTACTTTCTAATGTTCCCTATCTTCTTTCTCATCTTTCTCAAATCATACGCTCTATACAGTGGTGATATTTCAACCCAATATACTCAACATGTTTATGTATATACTCAATATACTCAAACACAATATACTCTATATGATTTTTGGTTTTGGTTTTGGTTTTGATTCATGATTTTTTCTGACATTTTTCCATCCTCAAATTTCTCTTTTCAAACTTAAGGAGGTATGAGAATTTGTAATGTGCTCATCTCTCCATGTTTATTGCAGTAAAGGTCGTATCAAACTATTTCATTAAGTATGGCATTCAAGATGAGTAATTGTTTCATTTCCCACTGTATTTCTGGATTCAGACAAATGAAAGTGGATGAATCAATGCATACAAATCCATTCTTAATATTTGAAGAAAGACCAAGTGCATATCTGACTATTGGTGGACCATCAACATCATTTTTCAAAGTAGTACCTTAATAAGATGAGCCATGGATCTGGAAAATGAGCACCTAGCTTTTTTTGTATAGACTGATTGGAGTGTAAGGTAGAAAACTGTGATGCACGGTCAAATTCTGCCTATTGTCTCTGTGTGTAAATAAAGGTTTATAAGAACACAGTCTTTCCATTTGTTTACTTATTGTCTATGGTTGCTTTCTTACTACAGTGACAGAGTAATTCAGATAGTGACCATATAGTCCTCCATGCCTTCACAGTAAACGTTTTTCTACTCCTGGCCTAGAAGATACTGATGGGTCCTGCTGAATCTCAGATTTCCACAACAGGAAGCATTTATTTTTCATTGGTTGAACATTTCTGTTTTAGGATACTATTCTGCCATATCTCAGCATGAAATGGTGTCTCTGTGAGGCGGGGGCTCAGCTTCACAGCACATCTGGAGATGCACACTTTGCCCCATAACAAAGGTAATTCACATCTTTCAGCATGAAACCTGAAGCCAAAAGATGTCTGCTTTTGGATTGAACTGTGAAGTAGAAATTATAGTGTCGTCCAAAAAAACAAAACAAACAAACAAACAAAATTCTGAGAGTATGGAAAAGAGTGATGAACACTTAAGAGGAAGAAATGATTTGCCAAATTCTAATGCTAGTTAGAACACTTCAGCTAGTTTTCAGAATGTTGCATTTACCATACAGTTATAAGGGTTGAACAGCTGGCCTAAAACATCATCATCCATTCCCTTGTATGTCTGCTATGACCTCTTGGACAGCAGCAGCCGTGGGCCTGTCCCACAGGGAAGGTAGTTCATTTCTATGGCTTCCTTGTAGCTTGTATCAGCCCTCGTCTGGTACACCTAGAAATGAACCAAGTCCCAGAGTGCGGCAGATGCTGTCTTTACAAAAGAAGTTCCACAAACCAGCAGAATAGGCTTCTCTTTGGATCTTGTTGGAAGTGCAAAATCTTGGGTCCCACTCTAGATTTACTGAAGTAGGATATGTGTTTTTAATGAGATGCTTGGTTGATTTATATGCATGTTAAAGTTTTCTACTGATACACACAGGACCCCCAGGATCAGTCATGGGTATGAGGCTGGCTGCATATGTATGGGAAGTCTTGAAACAAGAAATATTTGTCTGGCATTTCCTATCCCACCTGAATATTCAGTTGTCATCTTGTCCCATTATTGAAAAATCCCATTGCACTCCTCTTTCCTCATCACACTCAAACCTCCCCCCACCCCGGCCCCATCTCTCTCTCTCTCTCTCACACACACACACACACACATGTCATCATCATCATCATCATCAATCCTCTTTCTTTCTCTCTCTTTCTGTTCCAAATGGCTTCAGGTCAGCAATTAGAGTTGGAAATCTCTTTAGTAAATGAATTTCAGTCACGGCCAAGGTGAGCCAGGATATTGCTCAGCTGAGTGGAAATTTCACTCAGCTTTTGGGTTAAAAAAAGTCTCCTTTCTCATAAAACACAAAAACAAACAATAGCAAAAACAATGAAACAAACCTCAAACTCAACTCTGAGCGTGGCAAAAAGACAAAACTCTGCATTTCTACCATTCTGACTGGTGTAATAAAGTTTTTTTTTTGTTTTTTTTGTTTTTTTTTTTTTTTTGTAACTACTATTGGATTCACAGGAATTCTGCAGGCACCGATGCTCAAAGAACAGCATGAAGAGCCATTGATCAACCTTACCTTGTTCCTACCCCTTTTCTGAATTCTCTAGCACAGAAATCACTGAGTGCTTGAACTTCTTGGGTAGATGGAGAAGGAAGCATCTCAGAAGGCTGTTACCTTGCAATCTCCAATATCATTACCCTTCTCTGGAAACGCAACGGAGTCAAATTCCTACTCTTCCCTCACTAAATCTCCTTTCTCCCCTGTCATATTCTCAGATATTTCTCAGGCTCTCATCCTCAGAGATGGCAGGTTTTTCTTCTGTGTTTTTATCTCTGAATATTGTCCACAGTAGTATAACCTGGTAGGCAATGCCTAATGCATCAGGCATCAGATGTCTGCTCTGGACTTCAGAAAGTATTCTGCAGTACTCCTCTGGTGGAGCAGACGTTTGGAAGTATGTTTGTAAGAACTTTTAACACATAGGCAAAATGAAACAGTGATAGATTTGCTTCATAGAGTCTGGGCTGCATCTTCTAAATCATTCACAAACATAGGTCTGAGTGTGACCAGAAGGTAAGCTGTAATTTAGGGAAACTGAAACCTTTAGGGCTTATTATTTTTAATAGTTGCTCATAAAGGAGATTTGCAAGTTTAAAATTAACCACCTGCTCAGAGCCTAAAATTATACTAGATCGAGGACTTCCCTATAAAATTACAGTAAATTTTGTATATCAATATCAGTGTGCCTCTTTATTACGCTAAAAATATTCATGATTTTCTGATCTTGAAGTCAAGTAGAGTTTGCAACTTATATGATATTTTTTGGATCTGGTTCTAAAAAATAGAACAGGAAAGTAGGATTCTCTTTAGGACCTTGAGATATGAGGGTCATAGCTAATATCCTTGGAGCCTTCCAAAGCCATTGGCTACTCTGGATGAGAACCAATTAACTTCATATTGTTCCAAGAGTACTGTCCCACTCATGTCTTAGAGTGAAGTGTCCTTATTCCTGAGGGAATTGGATGAAGGTGGGAAAGGCTGTTTAGAGTGCATACATCACAATTTCTGATGGTTAACTGAAACATCACAGGATGATGCATTCATCCATGTGCATGTACACACAAGGAGGGCTGCTGGGGAGAGGCAATCTGGCATCAGAATGGCACCTGTGTCTGGGTCATGGCGATATATGTGTGCTGAGACATGAGCTATTCTTCATTTAATGCTCTATAACAAAACCACTACATTTGTGGAAAAGCCAGGCAGGGCCCAACACGCAGACTATGTTCTTGGAACAAAGGAAAACTCTTTCCCTCATGAATTATTCTATGTTTTTATGAGTATGTGATAGACTACAATATCTATGAAAATAGCAGGGTGCTCACTATGGTTTGAATAGGATTTGTCTCCTGCACTCATGAAGATATTTAAAGTTGAAGCCCTAAAGTTGTATGTTACTGGTACTAGGAGGCTGTAAACATAATTCAATTATGATGTTTAGAAGGTGGGGCTACTGAGAAGTCCTTAGGTCAATGGGGATGTGTTCTTAGAAGACAGTTTTCATGAGAGGGTTGGTTATGAGTTGAACCCAACTGCTCTCTCTTCCTAGCTTGATATGTGATCCTTTCTCTGCACACATTCTGGCGATGCATCCTTCAATGTCACCAGAGAGAAACCCATCCGAAAGGGCTGCTTGATCTTGCACTGTGAATCTCCAAAGCCATGAGCCAAAATGAGCCTCTTTTTTCATGAATAGCTTGTTACAGGTATTTTGTTATAGTGATGAAAATCTGATGAATACAGTGGTTGGAGAGGTTGACTGTCATATGAAGTTGTAATAATGATTTGAAAATCTATTTAAACTTTATTAGATTACTATTAAATATGTATGTTTAATAGTTATTAATAGAAATTTCTGTTCATCTACTTTTTAAATTTTAAGAATTCTTTTCAGTAGAATCATAGTTTGTCACAAATATCTGATATTTTGAAACATTAATTTTGAATTATGTACAGAGTTTTCTGAGATCAAAACACTGTAGCAGTAATTGGTGTTCTATAAGACATATTTTGAACATATGTAAGTTTTGCTAACCCTTGTTGACATTTTAAAATAGACAGCTCACCCCAGGAAATGGTGATCTTTTCCGAGATGGTCCACACTTTATTTCCAGGGACCGGAGACAGAGCCACACACCAAATGGTTAAGTTGTTTGATTGGGCTAATTGATTACCACGCACACTTGTTAAAACAGACTTCAGTTCCAAAAATCCGCCTTTGCCTTTTCTCTCTTCATTAGTAATGTGTATTCCTAAAAGACAAATAAGAACAGTAGTCACCAACATTTTCTGTACGAGCTGTATGCTGATGTCCAGCTTTCATTATGAATATATGATAATGAAGGGTCTAACATTATCAAGCTGTGGCTTCTGTTCAGACAAGGTCACTTCCAGCAGACTGGAGATTAACTTGAGCTGTTGGCTCAGGCTACTGGATGGCACCAGTTCATGGCCAGGTGTGAAAGGTGTTGATTAATAATGTTACTTTGTGACCATGCATGGGAGGGGTTTGGCAGCAGATCCTCTCATCTTCTCAGTATTGTTTATTCATAGTAGTGAAGGGGATGATTCACACCTGATCTGAGTTTGGGACAGCTCTTCTGGGGACCCTGCTGGTTATGGATCTGTAATGTACTTAAGTGACTGGCAAATATAAAACAACTTCAGCCAATGGGGCTGATTTTGGGCTTCCCACTTCTGAGTTTCTCTGTGCATGTGCTGGTGGTTCCTAATCTGAAAGACGAAGTGTGTCTGTTTATGGCCATTACAGAGGGAGGAAAAAGGAGACCACATTTGACTTCTCGGGACTCCTTGCATTAGGGTAGTATCTGATGGATGTTTCATTCATGATGCTATATTCTATCCTTTCCTGGAATAAGCTGTAGATTTGTAGGCATTGTCATTTGAAGTTTTGTGACTCTTATTTAGAAATCAAACTCTGTTTAATTGCCACTGTCAGTACAACCTCCAAATAACATACACAACAACAGGAAATTAATGTAAAACCATCTACCACCATAGGCCATGACTTTTTGGACTCTCACAGCTTCCTTATGTTAAAGCTTCTCAGGGCTGCCGTTGTTCTGCAGGTTAAGCTGCTGCTTGCAAAGCCGGCATCCCATATGAGAGCCGGATTGAGTACCTGATGCTCCACTTCCAATCCGGCTCCCTGCTGATGCTCCTGGGAAAGCAGCAGATGGCCTAAGTGCTTGGGCCCCTGCTACCTGTATGGGAGTCCCAGATGGTGTTCCAGGCTCCTTGCTTGGGCTTGGGTCTGGTCCAGCCCTGGCTGCTTTGGTCTTTTAGTAAGAGAACCAGCATATGGAAGATTCTCCCTCTTCCTCTCTCTCTGTAACTTTGACTTTCAAATAAATAAGTCTTTAAAGAAAGTTTTTAAGGCTAATTTTGGGGTTATGACTTGCCCAAATAGTAGCCAAATGCAGTTGTATGCTAGTGGAATTCTGACTATGGTGTCTAGCTTCTTGTTTGGGAGGGTAAAGGAAACATCAAATCTGGGTGCCTTAGCTAGGCAGGGCATATTTAATAGGAGGATATATATTTGTAATAACTTTTAACAGAGAGTTTCAGGATTGCATTGTGTCACTTTTGTAGGTAAATATTTTTAAAATGAGTCAATAACAAACCAATAAACAAAAGCATCAAGTGAGTATTATAATCATCCTTCAATATAAGCTTTTAATTTTATCAATTAAAAGTAATCAAGCAGCAGGAAATGCGTGGCTTAGCATTTTAATAATGCATTGACTCAGGAGAAAGGCTATCGTCCGGGCAGGTGATCACTGCAGTTAATCTGGAAGAAGCCATCATGGTTACCACCTGTGAAAAATACAGCTTTGTGAATTATCAGCCGAGCTTGTCTCGGTGTGTGTTTCTGCTCCAGGAACTTTTAATTCTCCCTGTGAGTATGTCCCTTGTAAAGGAGCCAAGTCCTTCACATCCACTTCCTTGAGGGCCCCTCCCAACACTTGCCCTAGATTCTTACAAGAAAATGTAGAAATTATTTTGAGATTGATTTAAGGCAGTGATGCTAAGTTATTTGAACACAATGTATTGAAAGAAGAGAGCAACGGAAGAATAGGTGGCTATATTACAAAGTCCTAGAATTTATAAATAAGTGTATGTTGAATTAACTTTTTTGTTATCATTTAGGAAATGTCTGAAAATTTTTAAAAAATTTATTTGAGAGAGAGAGAGAGAGGAGAGAGTGAGCGAGAACACCCATCCACTGTTTCATTCCCTAAATTGCCAGGACTGCCCAGGAGCAGGGAATTCAGTCCAGGCAGGAGGCAGGAACCCAAGTGCTTGAGCATTTACCAATAGGCTGTGTTAGCAGAAGCTGGTGTCAGAACCCAAGCCAGAGCTGGGGCTAGGTATCAAATCCGTATTACTCAAGTACTCTCTTAACTATTGGACCAAAAGCCCTCCCCCAAATACCTGCTTTTACAATGAAATGAAAGCATTGTGATGAAGTCAATTGTATTCTTTCATTCTGAGAAATTTTACCCTTACCTCCATGGAGGACTCAGATAAAGTACTAGAAAATGATATCTGGTAGGAAAGATGACATTTTATTTGGAATGAGAAGTGTTCTTAAATGCAAAGGTCAAGCCTGGGCAATGATACTTTCTCAAGTTCATCCTTTGTCATACCCATTTCCATTGATTTGTTCCCTTACCTTCATTTCCATCTTGAAGAGATCTTTCATCTATAAACCATGTGAGATTTGCTTTGGGAAATACATTCTTTAGCGAGCAGGTAAATGTTCTCTGAGATAAAAGGAGACAAGAAAAGGATTATTTGCAACTTCAGAGAAATTAGTTTTCCTTACATCTCCACCACTATTCAGGAGACAAATTGACAAAAGATTATTTTCTCCACTTAAAAAATTAATATATTTATCAGAGAGAGGGAGAGAGACAGAGAGAGAGACAGGTAGAGACTCTTTCTACTGATTCATTCCACAAACACAATAGCAGAGCCTGGGCCAGGCCAAAGGCAGGGGCTGCAAATTCAATCTGGGTCTCCCAAAAGGTATTGATCTGCAGGAAGCTGAAATCAGGCGAGGAGCTTGCACTCAAAGCCTGGCACTCTGACGTGGGATACAGGCATGCCAAATGCTGCCTTAAGCTCTGCACAAACCCCCTACCCTCATTTTCTCCATTTCTAACTGGACAGCTACAAGGCAGTGCCTACCTTCAAAAGAGTTTGTGTTTATGTGTGGATTATGAATTAGATAACTCCTATAGAGATGCTATAAATATATGGCTAGAATCCTAGATGAATTTAAGAATCTAGGACTGGGACTGGCAATGGGATGTAACTGGTTAAGCCTCCACCTGTGGCACTGGCATCCCATGTGGGCACCAGTTCAAGTCCTGTCTGCTCCACTTCTGATCCAGCTCCCTGCTGATGGTCTGGGAAAGCAGTGGAAGATGGCCCAGGTTCTTGGGCCTCTGCATCCACGTGGAAGACCTGGAGAAAGCTCCTGGCTCCTGGCTTCAGATTGGTCCAGCTGTTGCAGCAGTTTGGGGAGTGAACCAGTGGATAGAAGACCTCTCTCTCTGTGTTTGTAACTCTGTCTCTCAAATGGATAAATAAAATCTTTAAAAAAGAATCTAGGGCAATACTGATATTAAAGTGTAGATCCTGAATTCTAAGAAAAGTAAAATTTTAACTCTTTGTACATCGAATAAAAGAGTACCATGGAAATGAAAGTACCAGAGGAAGGAGTTAAAGCAGGAGGAGGCCAGAGAAGAATATTCTTTTAGATTAAAAGCTGAAACTGATCCACACATGACTTGTTTCCCAAATAATGTCAAATACTATTTGCAGTATGAGTTATAGAACTATTTTATGTAAATAACTTACTTTTCGCTTATAAAAAGTTTTTCTAATTATTTTTTATTTATCATCTTAATCATATAGGAGGGGCACAGCATGACTTATTACTATGCTTTATTATTATTTGACAGATGAGAAAATCCAGGTACCAAGTGCTTAAAAGAATGAAAAGAAATTAATGGCATAATTAGGAACTGTGTCTCCTCAATCCTCTTCCAATATACTTCCTGGTAAAACACACTGTTCTGAAGTTTAAAAAGTGGGAGAACAGGTAGTTATATTAATAAAACAGAGAACTTATGCTGGGTTGGTTATATTTTATTTCTTTACCAGTGCACCAAATACTCACCCTCTAGTTACATTTTATGTCTAACACTGCATTTATTCTTTGGGGGATGATGCTTCAGCCTGGTGAAAATATCTAATAAGATTTATTGGATATTCATTATTTTATCTGAGACCCTGTAAAATTATAATCTCATTTGTAGTTATTGACTTTCTTATCCAGAGACGTATATATTTTACATATCACTGGCTCTAGTTCTTATCTCCTAAATATTTTCCACAATTGGTGACTGTACTTCATGACAAGGAATGAGAAATTAACTGAATTTGGATGCTTGGGTGTCGATCCACAATCTAGCTACTGCCAAAGTGTTTGGGCCTATAGAGATGAGAAAACAGACTCAAGGATACTGAGTAACTTTTTTTTTTCCTGATGAGATCTTACTGAGGGGCAGTTTACCATCCCTTAGTACATTGCTGTGGAAATCCCAAAAACTCAAGAAGGTCACTAAAGGAAGTTACCTATCACACTTAAGAGAGTAGGGGCAAAGACTTAGTTTTTATTACTACCACTCATTCAACACTTGTTTTATACAGATAATGGGATGCATGCATGTAACAGGGATGTGGATCAATGGAATTATGTTATGTTCTCCCTTAGAAAATTGAAAGTGAAGCCAAGTACTCTAAAAAATATTTTTACTGAGGGAAATAATTCATTTCATTTAATCTACTAATGTACCTAAGATTGATTTTTATCTTCAGTTGAAAGGATTTAGAGACATAGGAGATGAGATTTTTAAAAAATGGTGCAAAGATTTGCATTCAATCCAGTGCCTTCAACCATTCTCCTGACTCTTCCTCTGTTTTCAGATAACCCACCCAAAAATGATGATGTGGTCATACCAGCAACAAGTGGGAGTCACCTTATTTGAAAACACAACTTTATCCCTCACTGAAGGAATCTCTTATCAACTTCTAAAATGTTAAAATGATTTGACTGTTGTGGATTCTTTGGTTTCACATTTTCTAAATGATTCAGGTTTCAAATATTTGGTGCTATCTCCAGATTCTGTGTTGTAAGGTTTGCATTAGGAATATGGTTCTTGTCATAAATTTCTCCCAGTCTCTCTAAAATCGAAAAGTCATAGGCTAAAGTAATTTAACTTGAGGCCAAATGATTTTGCAAATGTCAAACATATACAGTTTTGCTGAGTCATCAGATCTGTTTTTATTTGGGAGTTTCTACTCGGCCTAAGTGAGTAAGAAGAAAATATATGACAAATCTGAAAAAGTAAGACGTAGCTACATACAAGGGTATATGCGCACACACATACATGCTTCTCATCCAAGGAGTCACCACAAGCCACACTCCCTGTGTGCTGGCTGTATGGACAGAAAATCCAAAAAAATGGGGTTCATCAATAGATGATCTATTATGATGTTTTTTTTTTTTTTTTTTTTACAGGCAGAGTGGATAGTGAGAGAGAGAGACGCAGAGAGAAAGGTCTTCCTTTGCCGTTGGTTCACCCTCCAATGGCCGCCGCTGCAGCCGGCGCACCGCGCTGATCCTGGCAGGAGCCAGGAGCCAGGTGCTTTTCCTGGTCTCCCATGGGGTGCAGGGCCCAAGCACCTGGGCCATCCTCCACTGCACTCCCTGGCCATAGCAGAGAGCTGGCCTGGAAGAGGGGCAACCGGGACAGAATCCGGCGCCCCAACCGGGACTAGAACCCGGTGTGCCGGCGCCGCAAGGTGGAGGATTAGCCTATTGAGCCACGGCGCCGGCTCAAAATAATTGGTTTTTATAAAATTATTTTAAGTACATATGGAATAAGTGACCAATAGCACAAAGAATTATGTAGTAAGTGAATTTATGTGTGCAGAGAGAGACAGGCATGAATTCTCCAGGTGGTCACTGTTGAGAAGTAGTGGGAAATTCTTGGAGACAAATGGATGGGAATGGGTTCCTTGGCAGAGAATTTGAGGCCCAAGTAGAAGCTGGGCATGTTTCCCTAGAAGCAGAAGGAAAGCAGTGGATGGTTGGAACATGATGAACTTGACTGGTCAGATAAAATGACCCCAAGTCAGACTCTAATGCTGATCATTTCCTTCTTCCCACAGATGAAATGCTGAAGTCAAGACCACATGTATGTTAACCCACATTAAATTTGTCTAAGCTTAAACAGTACCTTTTCCAAAAGGCTTTTCTTTATAGTTGCTTTGAAAACATTTAGCTTTTTACTCTAGAGAGGGAAATCTTCAAACAAACAAATGAACAGTTTCTCTATTTGTTTGCCAATTCTTTGTTAGTGTTTGAAATATTTTATCCTCTTTTTTTCCCATTTCAAATTTAACATCAGTCTCTACATATTTTCTTTTTCTTTTCTTTTTTTTTTTTTTGACAGGCAGAGTGGACAGTGAGAGAGAGAGACAGAGAGAAAGGTCTTCCTTTGCTGTTGGTTCACCCTCCAATGGCCGCCGTGGCTGGCGCGCTGCTGCCGGCGCACCGCACTGATCCGATGGCAGGAGCCAGGTACTTATCCTGGTCTCCCATGGGGTGCAGGGCCCAAGCACTTGGGCCATCCTCCACTGCACTCCCTGGCCACAGCAGAGTGCTGGCCTGGAAGAGGGGCAACCGGGACAGAATCCAGTGCCCCGACCGGGACTAGAACCCGGTGTGCCGGCGCCGCAAGGCGGAGGATTAGCCTAGTGAGCCACGGCGCCGGCCTTCTGCTATGCCATTTCTATCTTTTAAACTATATTGCAAATTATTTTCTTCCATCAACACCTTCTATAAAATGTTCTTGTCTTCTCTTAGTAGGTTTTCCTTCTCATGTTTATGTATAAATAATATATATTCAACTATATATGCATAAATAATATATATTTTGCTTAAGTGGTCATTATTCCCTCCCTTCTGAGAGTAGAGGCCGATCACATTTTAGCTTTTCCACTTGTAGTTACATAATATCATAGACAGCATTCAAAATCTGTTACACACTTTGCCGTATTTCCTTGAATTTCATGGGTTTTCTTTCACTTAATCTTTGCTTTCCTGCAAGCTCTTTGGCTTTCCTACTCATTGTATTTACAACAGTCACTGATGCCAGACCCAAAATCAAGACTCATGGTCTGAAAATGTGGTAAAATACTTGAAGCCACAGGTGTCTTGATGCATGCAGTTTCTTTCTCATATTTCGGTCTTCTCTCTCTTTAAATGTCTTTGTTTGGTTGAGAGGACAGCTAATCCAGTCACGGAGTAACAGAAATAAGGCTTGTAGGTGCTTGACATAGTGGAAAGGATGAGGAAAGAATCTGCACCTGTGTCTAAGTGTTGCAGAGAAACCCAACAGACAGAGACACACCCACTTGGAGACAAACTCTCCTGGAAGTGGGAGGATACCACAAGTGGAGGTGCCCTCCTCCGGGGGTAGGAGCCAGCTAACTTGCCAGGGTGTGAGGCAGCTCAGTCACTCTGCGCCAGAGGGCTCAGACACAAGTTCAGAGCCTTGCTTGCCTGTAAGTACTCACTTGTAACTATGGGGTAATTTTCTGTTTGGGGTTGCAAAGCTTGATGGATAAAGCTTTCACTCACTGATGAACTGATGCAGAAAGGGGAAAAAATCAGCCTTTTTTGATATGCAGCATAATTCTCCATTTATATGTTTATCTTTAAAATGGTATAACTAAGCCAAACATCTGGCATAAGCCGTTTTGGGAAGATTTCATTGGCTGTTGGTTTTGCAGGTGGTTGTGCCAGGGAAGGTGGAGTGTGGTGAGCTGCTTTCTGAGGACAAAGAGGCAACATCGCATCTGTGCAGATGTGCCGCACATCTGGCTCCTCGGTGCACGCCAGCTCTTTGCACTGAACACAGCGAGGCCTGCTGCTTGGAAGCCCAGCTTTAGAGGGGCCGCCTTAGGGACAAAGTGATCTCACGCTGGGAAGCATTCTATCCAGATGCTGGCAAGCTTGCAGCTTCTGGAGTACTTGGTGCAACCGGGAAGCTGCATTGCTTCCTATATCAGCATCCGTCTGCACTTGCTTTTCCCTACCCTGAGGAAGACCCAGTGAAGCCCAGCCCTGAGCATCTGGAGCAGCCTGAGCCCTGAGGCTCTTCCTCCTGCTTCCAAAACAAGGAGCACAAAGGCAGTGGGAGCAGGCTGGGGAGAATCCAATTTTCAGTGTTCAAAAATTCCTGTTGTGCTGGTTGATGTCAAGAGCCCTGCGTTCACTAAGGAACTTTGTAGTTGTTGGACAGGGGACGCCGTTGCTACAGAAACCAATGTGTTTTTTCTTTCTGGCATTCTTAAAGAGGGATCAGTAAGTAGCTGGAGCATGGAGGGAATGTCCTCATAGACCATTTCACAGGTGTCTGACTCGCGTCTGACTCTCCAGCAAAGCAGAAAGGAGGGAACATCACACCGAGGTGTGGCCAGCCCTTGCCATTATTGTGAATCCCCCAGAGTTAACATAGTCCCTTCCCAAATCCACCTCTAACCTGTGGCTCAATTAAAACTTTGACTCACACACAGGCATGTCCTAAAGGGAGCTGAAGAGGAGGAGACATGATGAGGCAGGAAGAGGAAGAAAAGGATGGGACCAGACTGAAGGCAAAAGGAGAATTAGAGATGAAGGAGGAGGAGGAGATCAGTGAGACGGGAGAACTGGTTGGGTCTTTTACCAGTGCCTTGCCTGCCTCAATGCCCCAAAACAGGGGGAGCCGGTTTTCTGAGGCATGGGAGTATTTTCATCTGGCCCCTGCTCGTGCTGGGCACCATCCCAACCAATATGCCACCTGCCGTCTGTGTGGCAGGCAGGTGAGCCGTGGTCCTGGGGTTAATGTGGGCACTACAGCCCTGTGGAAGCACCTGAAAAGCATGCACAGGGAAGAGCTAGAGAAGGGTGGCCATGCACAGGCAGGGCAGCGCCAGGACTCAAGGCCTCAAGGGCCTCAGCTACCCGCAGGCATTGAGGGTGACTGGGCCAGGCTCTTGCAGCAGGTGAGCACCCTGGCTCTGTGGGCAAGTCAGAGGGAAAAGGAGGTGCTTCGGAGGCAGAGGGCCGTGGAATGGCGAGAGAGGGCAGTGGAGAGGAGGGAGCGAGCCCTGGAGGAGATGGAAAGGGCCATCCTGGCGATGAAGTGGAAGGTGAGGGCTGAGAATGAGGTGCACCACAGGGACAAAGACCCGCCTGCAGCAGCTCATCCCTTCCACTTTGTCTAAATTGGGCTGGGAGGTGGGGGATCAGTTCTGAAAACATTGACTTTAGACTCATAGCAAAGAGCCGTTTCTGATCTTGCTCAAATATAAAGCAAAGTAGCTTAGTGTGAATTTATTTTTAAGAGAAAGTGCCCAGCAGGCATTAATCTCAGCAGATATGAATCAGCCAGAATGCTTCCCTGTGCACTTCCTAGAGCTGTGCTGACCCTTGGCCAAAATTTCAAAATGCAGTAAAGACAAATGGTGGTTTGCCTCCCTGGGCCTGTTTCATTGTGGAATGTACAAGTCCACCAGACGTGGTTAATAAGAATGACTGGATTTATCTTGGCACTTGGTTTCAGTGAGCTGGTGGTTTCGTGGTGCAGACTGGTTGGGTAGCTACCCTGTGCCTATAGGATCTGCTCACTCAGAGACTCGAGCATGAGTAGAGCCCAGGCTTCCTGGGATGGAGGCATTGCATGCATGCTGGTTGTGATGTGAGACCTGGATAGCAAGCTTGCTCTGTAGGACCCTGCCGTGGGAAGACAAAGAAGCTTGGGACTCAGAGCTACAGACTTTCCAAACACATCTGTTGCTCCTATTACTGCACTATTGTACCATCTGCTTGGATTAAAATAGTTTCATCATGAACCCACCTGTGTCCTGTGAGTTTTTGACCAATCCTAAGCTTAAACTATTTCATGTGTAATCAGCACAAAGAAAGTTCAAGGCTTTTCAACTCATTTAGTTCAAACTTTAAGAATAGTAAATGTGGGGCGGGCATATAGCTTAGCTGGGAAGATGCTGATTAGGAAACATATATCCTATGCCAGAGTGCTGGGTTCATTTCCTAGCTCTTGCTTCTGACTCCAGCTCTCTGCTGATGCATATCGCGAGAGGCATCAGTAATGGCTCAAGTGCTTGGGTTCCTATCACCCACATCGAAGACCTGGATTGCATTCCTGACTTCTAGCCAGCCCTGGCCTTTGCAGGCATTTGGGGGAGTGAATCACCAAATGAAAGGTTCTCTTTTCTGTCTCTCTGCCACCTAAATTAAAGAAGAAAAGAACAAAGAGTATGAAAGACATACATATATTTTAAGTTTTTAATCTAATTTCATAAGAAGATCTGTTAGGGAAGAAGGAGCTGGTGAGAAAGTGATGAACAAAACTCAGCAAGGAAAAGGAAGCAAAAAGATGAGGTTACGTAAGGAGAGAACAGAGGCAGAAAGTAAACAAGGTAGAAATAGAGATAGAGAAGATGTGTGAGGATGAGGGGAAGACTGTGCTGTAGGAACACGCACCATGGAAAGAGAGATTGACCATGATTATCTGCATGAGTGAAGGGCAGAGCATGGTTTCTTAGATCCTGAGGTCAGTTTTAATGAGTTCACTTGGATTTGTTTTGTATGCACAGACCAGTCATTCATTTGAGCAGTAGGCTTTAGATTTTACTTTTGCCTCGAAGTGCTAACTGCTTGCCAATCCATTGTTCTCTGCTTTTTTTTTTTTAAACTATTCATCTTTAAATGTTCAGGGATGCTTTCAGAAAAGGGAGTCTAACAGTCCAAAGGGAGAGGAATTTTTTCTGGGTCACTAAGGCAATGCCTAAAATGTCAAGGAATGGACTACAAACCAGCTGGAAATGACTCTGGCCTTTGCATTGGTGCTGTCTTTTATTTCTGGAGCTGCCTCCAGAATCTTTTCTGCTTTAGCTGAGTTGGGGGTGGGGGTGTGTGGAGAGAGAGCTAGGGAGGACAGGAGGAGGTAAAAACATTATGCCGTTATCTCAAGGTTTACTCATGTACCTTATGGGTGCCCACCTCCAGCAAAGCTGACACCATCCTGACATAAGTACAGCATCCTGCTCCTTCATCCCTCACCTATGTGTCTCTCTCTTATGGCTTCTTTTAGAAATCTGACTGCTAAAGTTTTAACTCCCCTTGTTGTTTCCCTGCAGGGATGTGGTGGCCTTTAGTTCCCTCTCCATCTGTGGTGAAAATCCAGGTACTCATCAGTGCAAACCAGAACCAAATAAATACACAAAGAACCGAATTTTGCAAAAAGCTACCAGAGCTTTGTTGCCAAATTCTGATGTTATCCACAGTGTGATTTTTAAGATGATAGTATCTGTGTTACATGATTCCTATTGTTACAGACTCTCTTCTTTTTTATGTATCTTAACCACAAATCAACTCAGTTTCCATGTTTCATACTAGGTAGTTTTCTTTAGATTTTTTGGTTCTTTTTTCTTTAGATTTTTTTTTGTCAAATATAATAAAGGAATAAATAAACATTCATGGAGATAATCAGGTTCTAGCATAAACCACAGGAGTAAGAGATATGTAAGAGGCTTGTGAAAAGACTAAACTGTTGAATAAACCTCGAAGTTTTCCATGCATCTCTCTTGAGCCACCCTCTGTTGTATCATTAGCTCTGGATTGAGGTATTTGACTCAGCGTCCTTTGCTCTAATGCAATAATCTGCTACCTAGAGGGACCCTAATGCTGCGTTCCAAGACTCCCTGCCCATCTCAGCTGCAGGAGTAAGAATGACTGCTGTGTTGGAGCCCTGGTGAAGTCTTGCTCTCAGGAATGCACACAAACATGACGTGGCACTCTCTTTGGATGGCTCTGGCATGTCTGAGTCTGAAAGGCATCAATGTTAGAATAAACTGTTTTCCAGAAAATTCTAAGTCAGCCATATTCAAGGACTAGAATAGTCATAAACTTTATAAGTTTAATAAGACAGAAAGCTCAAAACTGACCAAGTTCCCAGTCCAATGAAGGCTGCTAGTGCAGCGAATTTATAGCACAGAGGAAACAGGGGGGCGGTGGGCATTGCTGGACATTTGCAGTTGCCAGGTGGTGAGTACTTTGCATATATCTTATTTGATTCTCACCTAACTCCAGTGAGGTTGAAATCCTTGTCCCCATTCAAAATGTGGAAGTTTAGGAACTGAAGTCTCAGGTGCTTGAGTTAATAAGCAAAGGAAGAGAATTCAAAGCTAGTTCCATCAGAATCCGCAGTCTTCTCGGGTTTTTTCATTATCACACACTGTCTCCAGAGTCAGTGACATAGGAGATTTATGAATGTGTGTGCAGAGGAAGCAAGAGGTGAAAGAGTGTGGGTGAATGACAAATAGGGGGAAGGAAGAAATATTTCTGGGATGGCTACTGTGTATCAGGGACTCCAGTACTGTGCACACATTTTAATTGTAAAAATTCTGTGAAATATTGGTTATGATCCTAGCTTTAGAGATGAGCTAGCTGAGGCTGGTGGACATTAACCACTTGATGAGGACCTGTAATTAGCAAGGTGAAGTTAGGACATGCCACTGGTGCCCTCTGATCCTGAATCGGGATGTCCTTTTGTCACAGCCTCCTGCCTGGATAGCAGTGTGATAAACATACATCCCAGCTCTCCCTTCATTAGAGACCCTCATCTGTAAAACAACAGATGTCCTACCTATTTCAGAGGCTTATTGGCAATGCCATGAGATAAAACTAAAGAGCTTTGAAGAGTCAGTAAATAATTAAAAATAAAGTAGGGATTACAAGGCTATTAGAGTGCAGAGAAAAACTAGCATTTGGCAACATCTTAAAAGACCCATAGACAAGTCATGTCCTGTAGCTGGTTTTGTAGGTTTGGAGACAGATTGTTCACTAATTCCCCAGGAAGGAAATTTCTCTGATTTTCATAGTTGGTACTTAGGTTAGTACAGATAGAGAAAGGGAAATTTGATGGCACATGAAGCAAAGTGTTTTATAAAATGGTGATTCTTTGATCTAATATATATTTCTATATCTGCATGGAGCCCATCTTACCTATAAACATTGGCACTGAGAATCTGCAAGTGATTCTTTTAAGAATGAAAACACTGGCAAAGACCAATAATCATTGGATTATTTGTTGTATTTAAACAATTGAAGCCCACTAATAAACTTAATAACCCAACTGTATTAAAATGAAAATGATTAAATGTTTCTTATATATACAGTGTCTATTTAAGAGACTGATCGATGAAATTGGCAAGACACAAACATATGGATAATGCATATATAGAGTTATCCAAAATCATCCCACAGATCTGCGCTATGATTTGTGTGTAGCTGTCAAATTATATGTCTGATTTTCAGTGGGACCTGAAATCATAGGTTGTTTTATGTTCTTGAGGGTGAAATAAAGCTAAAATAAAATTGTCTCCTATCCCATGTAAAAAGATATGCTTTGAGAATTAATGAGAAAAATTTTATGTGTGGTTCTAAAAAGCTTGGGTGAAGTCAGAAGGCCCCCAGACAGCTGATTAAAACAGATAACAGTAATAACAACAATGTAATAACAATGGAAACAATGATATTTAATTGAATACTTAATACATGTCATACACCGTGCTAAGAACTTTAATACTTCCATTCTTAGAATGAACAATAATGGACGGCTAATATTACCCCCTCACATAGAAAAACCAACTGCAACAATGTGAAATAATTTCCCCAAGGCCAAGCCAACAAGAAGAGGAGCCGAGAGTGGGTCCGGACCCCAGTGACTGGCGGCTGGGAACCACCCCTAAGAAGCTGAAGTCAGAAGACCTAGTCTTCTCTCCTTTTTTTCTTATCTTTCCTCCTGCTGCCAAAAAAATAGCCAATGTTCTGCAGGAGCATGAGAGGGCGCATTTTCCCTTGTCACTGAGAAACAAAAACAATGGGAGAACTGCTACAAGAAATGGATTAGAGCAAAAACTTTAGTTCTGCACAAAGAACTCACACTGTTTTCTGCCCTACTTTTCTCTCAGTATCCATCTCAATTTTTATTAAAAATGAGTTTAAACAATTGGGACTGCTTTTTTTTTTTTTTTTTTTTGCAGGAATTTAAGAACTAAGGAGGCAGATCTCCAATTCTGAGAGCCTAAATTTGAAAGTAACGATTCCCATTGGGTTTCCAGAATCAGTTCATCTTCCCTTCATCCCCATCAGTAGTCTTTTGTCCAGGGACCAAGGAGGAAGGCCTTTTAAGGGGACATTCCTGGCAACTATGCACCAACACATATAACACCATAGATTTCCAAAGGATTTAAAGTTACTTACCTCTCCCAAAAAGCCCATGGAGTTATTTTCCATGATCATGGGGGTTTCTGGCTTAGCTTTAAGGCAAATAAAACACAGTTAGCAGCGCTTAACACCACCCAACCTTGCCTTTAGTGTATACATCTATACATGTGTGTAAAAGAGTTATCATTCATCAAATATTTGTTATTAAATGCCCAGATGTGCCTGGCAGTATACTAGATACCAAGGAAATAAAAGTAAACAAATCATATTCACTGTCCTCAAAGAAATTTACATTGTCGTGCAAAGAACAGATAAACAACTATAAGTTATAATACACTGAGACAGGTACAATAATTGAGGACACGTGGGCTGAAGAAAGCTTTTAAGAAAAGTCTCTACCTCAACTCAGAGGATAAAGGAGGTTTTTGGAAAGTGGATGCATAGCTGCTCCCTGAGTGATGATCAGTGCTGAATCAAGTGGAATTGGGGATGTGGAAGGGTGGAGGGGCAGGTGGCAGGGAGAGAGAAGCTAGGCGTGCTATACATGTTCAAAGGCTTTATAACTATGCCATTGTTTTCAGGACCCTGGAGGGGACCAGAGCAATACTCGTTACTTGTTTGATTGTTTGGCACTAGAAAATATCAGGGCTATTTCAGTGACGCTGTTTTCCTGCTAGATTGTAAATGCCTCAAAGCCGGAGTATTTGATCCAGCTTCACATTTCCAGCAGTGCTCCACACAAACTAGACATTGAGTCCACTGAAACCAAGTGGCTTCATGAATTTCCTGAATATGGCAGACCAGGTCTTCCAGGAACCCACGGAAGGCACGGTTACAGCCCCTGTGCCAGGGGCCGGTGTTGCGGTGCAAGGGCAGCCTATTGCAGAGTGCAGCTTTGAGTCCTGGCTACCCTGCTTGTGATCAAGCATCCCTGCTAAGGTGTCTGGGAATGCAGCAGAAGATGGTTCGAGTACTTGGGCCCCTCACATTGGAGAATCAGTGAATGGAAGATCTTTATCTCCCTCTCTTTTACCCTGCTTTTCAAATGAATAAATAAATAAGTAAATAAATAAATAATCTTAAAAAAATGACCCTTATCCCACATGCTGTCAGTGCCTATTACATCCTCTACACACAGAAGGCCTAAGGATTTACTCAGTTCAAAAGTGGGGAAAGCTGGGAGACCCTGGGAATTAATGGTGCTGGTAGATGGGGACTGGGTGGATGAATACCCTGGCTTCCTGGCCCTTCATTTGGTACGACTCTGACCTATGTTCTCTCCCTGGTGAGACTGAGCTCTAAGCCCACAGTGCTAATGATTTACTTTCCCTCCTTGGCTCACTGTTCCATTCCTCTCCTCAGGTTTCACAGGATGATCTCTCAAATAAAGTCATTTACTCAAATCCTTATCTCAGTATTTTCTTTCAGTGTAACTCAAACTAAGATGCAACCCTGACACACTAAGAGGATAAGGAATATATTGACCTTCTACTTAGCAGATACTCATAGAAAGAAGGATCTCAGAGAATGAAAATTGAGAGAAATCCCAGAAGTGACACACACAGATCCCCTGTGTGCCTCTGAACAATCAGAACTAGAGCTTGAGAGAGGAAGAGAGCAAATTGGGATGGAAAAGTGGCTCCCTGGCTCAGAGAGTGAAGTCAAAGGAGACCAGTAAGGGAGATGCGGGAAGTGGCCTTGGCGCTTGGGTCACCTCTGGTGGAAGATGAAGAACTGGGCAAGGAAGAACATTTAGGAATAAGAAGCTGCTTTAGGGCAGATGGAATGGGTCTGTGATACATCTGGGCATTTATTGCAAAGCTTCTACATGTTGTTTTTGGCTGTTTCTGTATGAGGAATAATAACGGTATGCCAAGTGAGACTTATAAATTATGCATTGGACCCTTGTGCCAGGGCCAATATAAGACATACCTGGGATGACACCCATGAATAGGCTAAAGACTGAATAAGACTATGTCCAGACACAACCCACCCAGTCCATGTATTAAGTGGGAAAGCCAGGAAGCAAGAAAAATTTAATTCTATGACTAAGCAGGCATATACTCTTATTTTTAAGCAGCTACTGAAAGGATTTCAAAGAAGTAAGAGAAATGCAGAGTCAGATGGGGTGATAAAAGTGAGATGTAAGTGAGTGAAAAATATCCAAGGCCACGATGAAGGTATTTTAATTTAACAAACAGGCAGAGGACACGGTTTAAATGTTGACAAGGCAATTAGATAATATTATGGCACAAGAAATGCTGGTTAAATTGGGACACAGCTTGCCTAATGTAAAATTGATATTTCTTTCCACATCCTGGATGGCTGCCTTTGTTGGTTTGCCAATAATCAGGCCATATGAGGCAGTTTCATGTTTGCGCTAAGACAGTCACACCCTGCTCGGTGAACAAATGGTGATGATGGTGAAGGAGATGAAAACAGCCTACTCCCAACTCTTCACAGGACACCTTTGAGTCTCCATAAGTAACTGGTCCTGGTGGCAGAGAGGCGGGTGGTATGTGTGTGATTAAAACCCAACCCATCCCTGAGGAGACATGGAGAGAGTCAGGGTGAAAGGAGAGGGGGGAAGAGAAAGGGAGAGAGATTAAGTGTCAGGGATGGGGGGAGAGCCATAGGGGAAAGTTAAAAGCATGAGACTTGGAACTAAATAAATTCTGGCTGTAGCCACTCTCATCTTCGCAAATGCTTGGTGATTTTTTCATTTTTTGACCTCCCATAATAATGCAATAAGATTCTAAATAAAAACATATTTTGTTTGTTCTGTCATTCAGAGACCTGGGGAAAAATCTAACACTTTGTACCCTTAGGTTTTATGAAGTTATTTTCTCTTTGTTTATCTCATTTTCAGAAACAATTCACTGCCTATCCACATCACTGCCTTTGTCTTTGTCTTCCTTTAAACATAACTCTTATATAAATGCTGGTCTTGTTTACACACACACACACACACACACAAACACACACACACACACAGAGATTCATAGCCAGAGGCATCTGTTCACTAATATTTCCTTGCACTCAGGCAAAATAGAATGTCCATATTTTCACCCTGAATTTGCACCCTGCAGAGGCTCTGCGTTTTGAATGAAGCCTTAGTGGACTCCACAGCTCAGCTCTGTACCACAGAGAAAGTGGGGTTGGAGAGCCATCCCTGCGGGCTCCTTTGCTGGGAGGCTGGACTTCTCCCACCCCAGCTGTCTCGGCAGGAAGGAGGCGAGCTCCTCCAGAGTTTCTCTGGGGCTGTGTTTATCACCTTCCGTTCTTACACTGGCCTTATTCAACCTTGCCTAATGAAGATAATTAGACAATGAGGCAATTTGATTTTGGCAGTTATAGCTAAGGTTATTTCTAGTGTTCTCAGGGAACATTAAATTTTTAAACAAAGTAGTCATCACTAGGAAACTGATCTATGTATGATTTGTGTATGATTTTATTCTATTAACTGAATCATTATCCTGTAGATTCCTACCTTCTCCCCACCCCTAATAAGATTGACAAATATCAAAGAAAACAGAATTCCAGAGTATTTTCTGTCTAAGAGTTAAAAAAAAATAGAAAAATAGAAAGGCAGAGAGAGAGAGGGAGAGAGAGAGAGATCAGTTGCTTCATTTTCCAAAAGCCGGTAAGGACCAGGGCTTTGCTAAGTTGAAGCTGGGAGCCAGGAACTCATGTTGGGTCTCTCACAGGGATGGCAGGGTCCCAACTACTTGAGCCATCACTTGCTGTCTCTCGGGGTTGCATTAGCAGAAATTTTGAATGTGGAATTGAGCTGGGGTTCAAATCCAGGTACTCCAATATGGGATGCAAGCATCTTAACCCCTGGCCTGATTTCTTGAATATTTGCCCTTCTGTGGTTGCTCCCCAGCGTAAAAGGGGACTTCCTTTCTGGAGAGGGCAAAGCAAGAAAAATTGCAAGGAGAGCTGGGAGTTCATAGAGTAACAACCCTTACCAAAAACCTTGACTGTGGTCGAGCTCCTCAATATTTCGCCATATCTGCCTTTAACACAGCAAGAGAACTTCAGGCCATCATCTTGGATTTGGACTGGAGAGAGGTGGAGTCCATGGTGTGAGTCTATCTTGACTCTGTCTTTAAATATCACGGATTTGTTGATGTGTTTTTGGGAGGCAAGCGTTTCCTGAGTCCCGTTAACCTCCTGATGAGAAAAAAGAGTCCCAGGTTATGAAGCATTTGACTGTGCCAGCTCTAGACTAGGTGTTTCACAAGCACAGGTGCATTTATTTCTGGTAAAATAGGGTGAATGAAGAATTAGAAATAACAAGTATTAAGTATGTTACCAGAAAATAGTTATCCTTGATTTTCCATAAAAACACTGTCACCGCATACGAACAGGGAAAGGAGCTTTCTGCCCTTCCGACTAGACTTTGCCCCTCAAGACTCCCGTAAGCTCCATATCTACAGTGGAGTTTGGGGGTAGAGTGGGGAAGGCTAACGGTGGATCCCAGTTTTCATTTGTGAGTGTCCGACATCTTCATGCTAAGACTCTTCCCAGAGTCTCTTTAGACAAGGTCTCCTTTTCACTCCTTGCAGCCTTGGGAGTACGATGAGGTAAAGAGGCACAATGTATGCAAAATTCAAAGAAGCAAGCACTTGCCCTTGGGCTCTTGCCAGTGATAGTCAGCACCTGAGAGTGAGGGCCTCCTTCATTGTGCCCTACACAATGCCTCGCCTCTTTACCTCACCCTAATTATGGTCCTAGCACTTCTGGCCTTGTTTCTGTGTTTGCACGGACTTCAAAGAGGACACATGAAGAGCAGGACATAAATTATGGAGATAAGATTTATTTTTAACTCGATTCCTCTATTCCACACCATTTCTTGGGTCTGTGAAGCAAAGCCCCTCTTACTGTTGCAATATGCATAATGTCCATGGACAAACTTGCTGGGCTGTCACAGTGCTGGTCATGTCGGTGAATGTGTTGACCAAGGAAACAGCCAGGGGAGGATTCTTGGGGCACACACAGGTTTTAAGTCTCGCATCTCTTTGGTGTAACTCATTGTTCTCAGTGAGTTGCTTGCAGAATGCTCTGCTGCACACACTCCTCCTCCAGTGACTCTAACTCAACTGCTCTTTATATTGAAATGTCTGCAGGAGAGCCCAGGCTGATAAACACTGAACATCTGAATTGTTGTGCGCAAATGTCAGTGACAATAGAGGGAATGAAAAGAGAGGAGGGTCAATGGGAATGCATTTGATGGGGAAAAAGTCACAAAATAATGAAAGCAAAACATCTGGGACTCAGAGTCCCTGAAAGACAGACTCAAGGTAGAAGAAAAGGAAAGCGGATAAATATGTGAATTCAAGGATAGCCAGAAACACAAAAACAGACTTCTTAAATAGTTTAACTGTATAGATAGTTCCAGAAAATACTTAGTAACACCTCCGTAAGATACAGTTCTATAACTGCTTCTCTGTAGGATCTGAATCACCTGTACACGCGGACAGCGCTGTGGGATGCATGCGAAGAATCATACTCTGCTCAAGTCTCAGCCCTGTGACAACGTAAGGATCTTTATACCTTCTAAAAGAAGGACTTAAGAGCCTGTGCTGTTGTCTTCCTGGTAAAGGAGTAAAATCAAAGGGAGAAAGATTGTCTTCCCTAGACAAGGGCTCCCCCAGGACCCCTGAGGGTTGAGTGGTGCCAGCAGAAAGCGGTGAATGCATTTCTCACAGCAAGAAGGACCTGGAGGCCGTATTTTAGGAAGTAGTCTCCCCCTGCAGGTCCTTCAGCACAACACCATGCACTTGACATTCTCCTGCTCTCTGCAAGGGGACAATTTTTGGAGGCTTTTGGAGGTCAAAATGTACCTTGTCATTTAGTAAATGGCTTGTCATTTGGGCCACTTCCATCTGTCACTTTGTTGTGGGAAGAAGGGCAATCCCAGGCAGAGGTTTGAGGCTGGTGAAACAAACTACCTTTACTTTGTTAGGTAGCAGGAAGGGACTGGCTCAGCGGTTTAATCGATAGAGAAAAGATCATACCACCCCTACCCCTACTCCCCTTTCCAGACTTATTCAAAGGTTTTTGTTTTTATTTTACCTTTTCTGGACAGTTGCCCATGGCAGAGAGAGGAGGTTGTTTTCTCATCAAGAAAGATAGGATTCAGCTAGAAATAGGACCTCATAACCCACAACATAAGGAGATTTTGAGAGCCTACAGTCCATGGTGTAGATATAGATATTTATAGATATAAAGGGAGCCATGGCAAAAACTCGCATATGAGGGGCTGCCTTCACAGAGCAAATGGGAGGAGAGAAGGAACAAACTCTCACAGGTAAACAAACAGTGAAATGCCTAGAAATACCTAGAAGCTGGAGAGGGAGAAATAATACTAATATTACGCTATGATCACTGCTAAAATTTTATGTTATAGCTTAAATTTGTTTAGCACCTACTATATTCTAGGCACTGTACAAAGTTACTCCTTACAACAGTGGGGAATAAACTAAAGTAATGTTAAGTAACTTACTCAAAGGTCACATGAAATAAGTTTAAGTGACAATATTAAAAAACAAGGATGCTCATAACCAGGGACAAATAAGCATCAGAGACTACATGTGCTAATAAAACCAAGTCATTAAAAACAATAAAATAAAGCAGCTTTCTGAGTCTGTAGTACAAAACAATTAAAAGAAAATTCAGGGGCTGGCGCAGTGGCTCACTCGGTTAATCCTCCGCCTCTGGTGCCGGCATCCCATACGAGCGCCGGGTTCTAGTCCAGGTTGCTCCTCTTCCAGTCCAGCTCTCTGCTGTGGCCCGGGAGGGCAGTGGAGGATGGCCCAGGTGTTTGGGCCCCTGCACCCGCATGGGAGACCAGGAGGAAGCACCTGGCTCCTGGCTTCGGATCAGTGCGGCGCCAGCCATAGCGGCCATTTGGGGAGTGAACCAACGGAAGAAAGACCTTTCTCTCTGTCTCTCACTGTCTATAACTTTACCTGTCAAATAAAAAAAAAAAAAAAGAAAATTCAGAAATCCAGAAGTCTTTATGTAAGTTGCAGATTACAGGGTTTGGGTAGTTTGCTGGTTGAAAGTGGTCTTTTTATGATATATTGACCCGTTTGACGACAAGGGCCATGGAGCATCCTTCAACTTCTACCTGATTATAATGATCTTCGTAACCAGTCTGCTGGAAACAGACATATAGAGCCTTTACTTCTACTCATTTTTAATAAGTATTTAAAACTTTGTGCAACATTCAAGGTACCATCTTGGAAGCAGAGAGATTAAGTCTGCTGGCCCCTGGATTTAAAATTTCTCAACTCCCAGAACTATGACAGGATAAATTTCTGTGCTTTATAATCACTCTCAAGCATTCTGGGCACAAAACGGACTAAGACAGTGATAAAACCATGCATTGCTCAATCTGGTTTCCCACTACTTTCAATCCTGGTGTATATCTGTCTTTGGGTGTCATGATGGCTATGAAGACCCCAGAATCCTATGCTAACTGCAAAATACTGTTATATATAAATATAGCAAGATCTCAAAATAAAGAAAAACTTGCTCTTATACAACATTTTGATATTTTGTTTATGTTGGGTTTTCCCTAAAATTTTCAAAAACAATATTTTATTAAAATATCCAAGTTGGGGGCTGGAATTGTGGCATAGTGGGTAGGACTACCACCTATGACTCTGGCATCCCATGTATGTACAAATTTGTGACCCAGCTGCTCCACTTCTGATCCAGCTTGTCTCTGGTGGCCTGGGAACAGCAGCAGATGATGGCTCAAGTGCTGGGGGCCCTGCACCTCTGTGGTAGACCCAGAAGAAGCACCTGGCTCCTGGCTTTGGCCTAGCCTAGTGCTAGCAATTGTGGTCATCTAGGGAATAAAACAGCAGATGGAAGACCTCTCTCTCTCTCTCTCTCTCTGTGTAGCTCTGACTTTCAAATAAGTAAATAAATCTCAAAATTTAAACTTATATAGACACACGTGACTAATGGCTACTGAATTGGACAATACAGTATTTGTAAAAAAAAATCCACATTGCTCACTAAATTTGTTTTGGTCCTCCCTTAAATTTTTCTGTCAAGGTTGAGGATCTTATTGACCTTACCTAATCCTAATCCTTAGGTCATACAGCTACTAAGTAGTAATAATAATAATAATTTTCCTCTAGAAGTCATACCATTAATGACTTTCCTGTAAATGAGTACAGCCTTGCAAAATAGTAGAAGGAAACAGCCTTGGCCTTTTCTGCTTACAATCTACTTGAGGAAAACAAATTCAGAAGGAAAACAAAACCAAATACAAAAATCAGGAGGTACAGAAGACAAGCAAATGCATAATTCACAATTATATTTATATAGCAGTTTGATAAAATAATTAATATGATGTAGGCTGAGCGAGGCACAATGATCATGGAAAGCTGATGTTCTATGCTCCTTAAAGACATGAAGATCCCCAAATCCTTTACTGAGGCTAATTTTGTACTAGAATCAGAATTTCAATCCAGAAGAGTGAGATTGGTACTACTTGGTGACTTGGCGCCAGCTCCATGTTAGAGCTTCCTGTGTTGACCACAGCACATGGCAGGCTGTGAGTGCACATATTTCATTAGATAACTGCTGTTAACTGTATTAATTGCTACCTCTTAATCTATACACTACTTCCTATCTTCATGCTCCCTTCATTTAGTCTCTAGCCAGCTGGTGCTGTCAAAGCCAGCTGCTTGCAAGGCTTCCCATGTCCATTTCCTAGAGCACTAGCCCTAATGCAATATTTTTCTAATCATTGTTATTAGCTGCCAACACTTGGTAGTTTGGCTAGCACTTAATTTCTTATTTTGATGAAGACAGGATCAGCTGCCACCAGATAAGAGATTACAGTTTTGCTTTCTAAATAGTGAGACTGCTCATAAGCATTGGAAACCAACATTGAATACAAATTTTAGTCCCCTTTTGCTTTTTAATTGTGTAATAGCACAAATATTAAAGAAGAATATATTAAGAAGATACATTTATAGATAAGCATTTAAAAATATGCAAGTAGTAGGACTTAGTTATGTGCCACTAACACGGAAGATATTTAAGTAGTAGTAATTAGTTATTTGCCACTAACATTGAACTATTGGAACTACAATATCCCTATCATTCTATTCATGATTTAAAGAAAAAAATAATGAATTTCTTTT